AAAAATAAATAAATTATGTATATATATATATATATATAACCAAGCCTTGTGATCTTGTTAAAACTGAGCTTTGTACCAGTCGTGACATCTCGACTCCTACGACACAACGATTGCAATCCTCCTGTTTCGGTCTAGAACCTTTGCTACTCCATCCATTCTTTTTTTTTTTCCTTTAATTTCTGTTGCTATAATAACAGAGTTGAGCACAATCACATTCAAGGAGACTGTCCAGATGTGAGTTCTGATGTATGTCACACCTGAGCACAACAGCAGTTCCCTATCAAGAAGGTGACAGCCCTCAGCCCTCGCAATCAGGTATCTCCGTGTCTTTTTCAACTTGCTTTTACACGTTTTGCACCTTTCAATTTTTAAGCAAATGTACTCTAAAATTAACAGCTAAATAGCAACGAGAATTTACTCAACACAGCTTGAATAGATGGCACTGCCTTCCCTTTGGGAATAAACACTCTTCTGCTACCATGGCGCCTTCACCATTTGAAATCTTTCTATTCTTTGCCTTCCTGTGGTCACAATTCAGAATGCAGGATTTTAAGGTTAGTTTTGAAAGGTGCAATTACTTGAAAATAAGTTTTCCTCTACCACTTTTCCACCTGAGAAGATACATGCAGCTTATTCTAACCTATGGGCTTGAAAAAAACCTGTTTTCCATGTTAACATAAGAATGCAGGTGTTTTATGTTTGTAAAAAACTGATAAATTAGGATTTTTCTTTTAAGAAAAAACATCCAGAGTCCTTTTCTGACAGGCAAGCCTATACAAACATTTTAATTTAAAAGAAAAGTGTTGATTTTTTTTTTAATTAAATATGCATTAATGAAAATCCCTGAGCAGCAGAGGGCAGTGCTTATATACAGAATGTACAGAATCTTGTCACAAGCCAATGTGGTTCTTTCTTTTTTGTCTGAAATGAATTTAGATGTAATTGAACGTTATCATCTGCTCCACAGATCTTATTCTTTATAAGTCTCTATTGATTTTTGAAGAATATAGCCTAAAAATATAAAATATAGAGTTAACAAAATCACTCTTAACAGAGGCTGTTTGGGGATTCTGCTGATGGCTTGTGGCAAATCAGCTGTTGACAGGTAAGAATGATTGATTGTTCTGATCTTGTGAAGCATTTCACAAGCAATGACCTCATCTTGTACTGCTTGTAACCACCTTGCTTCTCAAACGTGATCTCAGGAGGTGCTGGGAATGCAGTAGGCTCCTTGCTTTGTCTTCCTCATGGCCATGCCTTGACCTCATCAGCAGCCTGCAAGCAACTCTCAGGGATGATTTCATGAAATGCTTAAAAAAATAAATCTGCTGATGGACCATAGTGTTGTAGTAAAAGTGAATTGAATTGCCAACCTGTACAATTCCACTTGTTCCAAGGGATCCCCCAGGGTGACTGTTAAAAAGGGAGAAGATGTGTAAAAGCTCAGAGGAGCTGAAAGGCAGCTTCTAAGTTAATTTACAAAATGTGACTGATTCTGGCAGTGATTATTAGAGGGGGTTTTTTTTGTTTACATAACATGTAAAGCTCTTGGAAAATGTGACTGATTCTGGCAGTGATTATTAGGGGTTTTTTTGTTTACATAACATTCTTTCCTCATGCAAGCTTCAAGACAGGTTTAAGGTTGGTTTTCTGTGGGGATACACTCATGTGGCCGCAGAGGGAATGTTTCACCAACAAAGGAAAGCTCAGAAGGACTAGTGAGGTGACTGTAGCAGATGAAGTGACACCAAATCTGGTGCTGAGAGCAATTAAAAATAAGTCACCACGGATAAATGATGGCGTTTTATTTTAGCATATCAAAATTCTGAAAGCAAATAACATATTCAGAAATGTGTTGTATGCAACTAATATTGATTTATAATTTTTTTTAGCAATTCCTATGCATTTTTAGTTCCTTTTCAGAGAATTAAGATGTCCTACTGCACTTCTGAATGCTTCTTAAAACAAAATGTGATGAACTAATGACAAACAAATGTAGGAATCAGTAAGCATCAACCAGGAGTCCAGATCAGTGATAACAAGCAACAGTAGGAGAAATGTAGTAACTTCCACATTGCTGAGCTCGTTCCAAGCATATCTGGAAACCAATATTACACAGTGATTAGAAACACTCTAAGAAGAAAGGAACATAAACATCATTAATCAAGAAGATGTTTGCTAATATCAGCTTGATTTGGAAGGAAAGCAATCAATAAATACAAGGGCCAGAGTACAGACAGAGACAGCATGATAAAGAGCTCAAAAAGGCTGAAGTGACTGGAGCTCCTGGAAAAACTCCAGCAGAGTTGAGCATCTCTAACCTCGAGGTTCTACACAGCTGTAAGGGGATGAAGCTCTTCTGTGTGGTTTAGCTCAAGGAAGACTATTGTGCTTTCATCAATAATTTAAGAGTTAATAAAAAATTCCTGAGGAAAGAGGCTCTTATAACAGGGGAAAAAAGGTATCAGTTTGTATTATTGAGGAAGCAAAGAGGCTGGGAACATGAATAGAGATGCCATAGCTTGCCACTGCCACTGATGTCTAAGGGGGCTGGACATCAAGGAAATTTATGGCACAATTCCTGTTCCCCCTTGCTCAGAACCACTGTTAACCACCCTGTGAAGAAAAGGATCCATTTTTCAGAGTAAAACGTTCAGAGCTTGTGATACAAGTGTTTTCCAGCCTGAAGCAGAGTAGTCAAAAATCATTAAATTTGTAGCTGTAGGTGACTGCTTCTGTTCTTCCATTTAAGTCTTTGCTTTTCTTCTTCTGGCTGCTTCTTCCTTGCCTGTTGTCCTTCATCTTCCTTCACACTAAACTGCCAGCTGGTACCATCCTGCAGCAATACACCAGGGTGCCTGTCTGTTCTTCCACAGAGGGACCAAAGCACGTTGCTGTCTGTTGACACAAAACTCGAAGGCATCTAGAAAACAAACCCACTGTGGACAGGCAGCGTGATCCAACCCAGTGAACAGTGACAGGACACACTGAAAACTGACTGGTGACACCAGAGCCAAACACAAAGTCATCCCCTTAGGGCAAAGCTCAGAGTCTCACTTTGGATTTTTCAATAATAAAGGAGAACAAATTTAACACATTCTTATTCTTATTCTTATTCTTATTCTTATTCTTATTCTTATTCTTATTCTTAATAATAATAATAATAATAATAATAATAATAATTTTTATTCCTCCAAACATTAACAATCATTAATTCAGGAATCCTGAAAAATGTTGATATAAATACCCACAGTATAAATTTATACTGCCAGAATTAATGCACAGCCAAGTAACAGATATATGTTTGGTGAAGTGTTTTCCTAAGGATTCAAACCTTTCCATCTCCTCCCCAATTCTTTCTTCTGGCCTCCACTACCATAGCATCTGATTGCCTCAAAACTTTATGTATTGCAATAGTTAGGAAGAGCTAAAATGTAGCTTGCAACATGACTCATTAAAGTGGTTTGAATCAAATACTATTAATATACCAGCCCACAGGAGCAGAACTCTGTACATATCAAAAGAAAAAAACTGCAAAGCACAGCGGAGACTCAAAAAATGGATAGAGGAACTGACCTTAAAATCCTACTGAGATGTGAAAGAAAAGCAAACTAACATGCAAGTTCCTCCCAACAAGGAAAATTAAAGTGGTTTTGCCACAAGCAATTACTATGTTTTATATTGTTTCATAACTTGGTGATTTCAGTGTCCAGTTTATTATAAAGAATATGGCTGCTATAAAAGACAGAGTGGTTTGAAAACTGTTCAATGCCTTTTTTAAAGGTAACTGCTTGTAGAAAACAGTTTAATTTTTATTTTTCTAAATGGCTTTTGGAGCTGAAAAAATTCAGTCTTTTTCAAGGGTTTTTTTTTTCTCTTTATTTGGTTTTCTACTCCTTTTTGCCTTTGCCAGTGAACACAAAACATCCTGGGGAGAAAAAAGGAACCAAAATAACCAAAACCCACGCATTATTTCTTTTTTTTATTTCCCCAAAAATTCTGAATACTTAAAAAAATCTGTAAAAATGCAATGCTGCCCCAAACTGAATGAACTATTTTCAGTTTTCAGCAGATCATCGTGATCTCAAAAAAGCAAGCACAGTGTTTAGAGGGCTGAGCAGCAGCAGAGAGATTAGGAATATGAATTACAGTTCCAGGAGAGAACTGGATGGTTAAATCCAGTTCCCACAGTGAGCTTGGAAAACATGAATTATATTCCCTTTCTTCCTCCCTTTCTGAGTAGCATCTGCCTTGTTTCCCCAAAGATCAGTTGTGCTTCTCCTTCCTCTCTGTTCCTGCCTCTCCCTGATTCCAGTCATTTCCTGATTCCTTCTGATTCTGACATGGAGGTGCCTCACACTTGTACTCTATTCCCTGTTCTCCTGCACAGGAACAGGAGACACGTAGCCTCATGTAAACTGGGTGGCATTGCTACTCCAAATTGTTCATAAATAAAACTACCAAATCTTCAGAAGAGATTGCTGTCAGCTTGGGACTAATGTACGTTCCACCATTCAGCCATTAATTATCTTTAAAGAAGGATTTGTCAGGCATTGTTATGAGTCTAACGGAGCTCATCTTACTTTTTAACTGGTGGAAAATCAGCCATCAAGGAACACGGAACATCTGATTTTCCAATTAAATTCTGCTACAGTTTGGAACGTGGTTTTTTTTTGCAGAGACATGTGCCTAGCTGCCTGAATATTGCCTGGACAACAGGCAGAAAGATCTGTTCTTGAGCTATCCACACTAGCAATCATGTTTTTCTCCATGCAAATTGGCTCAGAATAGGTTTATTTTGTCCCTGTATCAATAATCAACAGCAAGATTGAAAGATGAGGAAGAAAGACAACAGACCAACCTGAAGGACACTGCAAAAACCTGAAGTGAAAGATGGGTGACTGTCTTCTAACAAGTAAACAAAGAGAATGAGCTTATAATTGATTGGAAACTACAGGACAACCACAACAAAGAGCTGCCAATGATGAAGGTCAAGAGGGAGACGCGGGCGAGTCGGCACGGTCAGTCATTGCTCACTCGAGCTTTTCAACGACGTTGTCTTGCAAAGAACAACACGTGCGATGACGATGATGTCAGATGGTATCTGTTCACAGGCCACACTCTTTGCATATGATTTCTCTTCTCATGTTTTCACAATGTGTCAGTAACGTGAAAAACAGGAGAGAAGAACAGATACTATTTCTCTGTGAGTCTGCTTTTATTTTTGCACCCTAAAATGATGGAAATTCCATGTTGGGTCCTTGCTTTGGTTACATTCCTTGAGGGTGCAGGTTGCAGGAGGGAGATGATTCCAGCATGGCAATGTTTGATTTGATTCCTCTGCTCATAGCAGATAGGGCTGCAGAAAAGCCTTGTAAAATCTAAATTTGAGGGGGAAAAAAAAAAAGTCTTCTGTAATTTACATATGAACTCTTCTGAGATTTCAGAGAGTGTTAGTAAAGGAATAAAAAGATATCTTTAACTTTTTCTTGTACTAGAAGAACATACCACCGTGTTTCTCTCAACAAAGCCAAAACCAAAGAAAAACCAGTATTACCCCCTAGGTTACAGTGTTACACTCCAAGAGTATCCTGAGTTGATGTAATTCTGAATATTGCCTCTTACCTATATGCTTCAACTGAGACTTCTTGTTTTACTGGTTTGGGATTTTTAGAAGATTGCATACTTCTCCATGGATAGGAAAAGATCATTCTTAAAGTTACCGGGAAGAAGCAATAACTCACATTTTCCTAATGCAAAAGGGAAAAAAAACACTGTTCCCACAAACATGGACTTTGGCACGTACATGTCTGTGTATATGTAGATATATAGATACATGTCTGTGTATATGTAGATATATAGATACATGTCTGTGTATATGTAGATATATAGATCCATGCCTGACATGCTGTGTCTTTGAATTTAAAGTACCAGGTATAGCCTAATAGCTGTAGTCCTCTGTACCTTAGGATTCTGAAGCAAATACAGTTCTAACATGCTGCCTACAGACACTCATGGCTCGGATGATTCATAGTCACATAGTTTCTATATCAAGCCTAGTGAACATACACAATCACATGGACTTCAGAGCAGTGCCCATCACCCAAGCAGCCAGAACAAGCCTTTCCCTATTCCCCCCACACTGATGTTCCACTCTCCAGCCAGGCTGCTGAGTTTTTTCCTCACATTTGTTTTTGAAGCACTGCTCTTTAGATAGCCTTTCCAGACTCCCAAAAGCACTGACTTACTGACTTTGTCCACAGCTATACCATATAGAGAAGAATTAACATAAAACATGCTAATTATTACTCACTACCTAAACCAGAAGCATCTACAGGTGCCGAGGATTAATGCAATACTCCTCCTTCCTTATCTCTGGATGACTGATTAGAAAATAGACAAAAGAAAGCGGACTATTCATTTCAGATATTTTATTAGAATAGTAAATAGAAACTCAAACTAACAATTTCCAAACAAGAACACAGAGAAGACTCTGGTTTTAACAGCATCTAATGGAAATTATGATTGCATTATTTAGTATCTTTCAGGAGGACTAGAATTTGCTGCTTTTACCTGCAAAATTAAGCACGGAGATGTTACAAGTAAGACTTTGTAACGTCTGGAACTAGTGTCTGGTGTGGCAGAGTCTTCACTACTTTGAGCAGAGCTGTAGCTACTTGTGAACCCAGCACTGAGAATGGATACAAGCATCACACGAGTTGGAACTAGGCCCAGTTGAGGCCCCAAGTTATGACCACAGGTAATAACACAATATATTATACACATATTGAAAGCCTAATTTTGATTAATCTCTCTCTCAAATATGCTCATATCTGGAAATTGTAAACTTTTGTGTAAATGTTCGTGTCAAGAAATGTACAGAAAAGGTTTGTTCAAAGCCAAAAGAGACTTACCAAACTAAATCTGTGCAAATATTTTGATACCTTCAAGAAAAATACAAGTTTCTGGCCAATTTAAGGACCATTACGTCCATTCTCCAAACAGAAGTCAGACACCTATGTAACATGTTAAAAGATAATCTCAGTGACGTATTGTTAATCAATGAAAATTCTTTGTTACAAATCCTTTTACTGCCTCAGTTTCCAAAGAATTCAAAGGAAATTATATTCTACAAATCTCATTAGTTGCTATCATCTGGCACCAGCGTTGTTTAGAAGCACTGCAATGGTACTTTGTTTTGTTGTGGCATAAGAGGCTCCCAGTCCACAATACTCTGGTCAGGCACTGAGTGAATCATCATTTATGATGCTTGTAAGTCAGTGGACAATAAGGCCTCTGGGTGTTATCATAATACAAGTATTAAGAAAGAAAAACAATGTTGATTTCTGTTTCCTCACAAAAGATTTATTATTTGTCATCAGAACTCGAACAGATTTCAGGAAGATTGTCACATAATCAGTATACAGAATATATGATAAACTGCAGGATCTTGGGGAGGGCAGGACCTGCCCTTTTGTTCTGTGCAGCACCTCCAAACTGTATCTTGACCAAAGGAACATAAGCAGGACCTAAAAAATATCAAGAAACAGGAATAGTTCTGGTCATTAGATATTCCACCCATTTAGAAAACAAAGCAAAACAAAACAAAAAATCCAAAACAGAATCCCAAAATTGCCTTAATTGGAAAAGATCTTAAAGCTCATCAGGTCCAACCATGAACCCAACACTGACAAGTCCCCGACTAACCCATGTCCCTCAGCACTATGTCTACATGACTCTTCAATCCCTCCAGGGATGGGGACTCCACCACTGCCCTGGGCAACCCCTTCCAATGCCTCAGAACCCTTTCAGCAAAGAAATTCTTCCTCACATCCCATCTCAACTGCCCTGGCCACAACTGGAGGCCATTACCTCTTGTCCTGTCCCTTGTTCCTTGGTTGGACAGACCCACCCCCACCTCTCTCCACCCTCCTCCAAGGGACTTGCACAGAGCCACAAGGTCTCCCCTCAGCCTCCTTTTCTCCAGGCTCAACAACCCCAGTTCCCTCAGCTGGGAACTCATCACACTTGTGCTCCAGACCCTTCCCCAGCTCCGCTGCCCTTCTCTGGACACGCTCCAGCACCTCCATGTCCTTCTTGGAGTCAGGGACCCAAAACTGAACCCAGGACTGGAGGTGCAGCCTCACCAGTACTGGGTACAGGGGTAACACAACCCACTATGTACCAGAAGCAGAAATACAGCCATTAATGAGGTAGACCTCAAGTACTAGAAACAAAAGGACATTGCTTTGATTTAATCTGCTTTCTCTCCTTAAACCAGCCCTCTTTTAAAAATTATATATTCAATTTTGGCATAAATCAGCAGTGAAGGATTAAAACTCAGGTGAGTGATTCAACAGCTCAAGAGTTGGACTCGATGATCTTTGTGGGTCCATTGCAACTCACAACACCCTGTGATTCTGTGATTAACAGCGCTTCATCCATGGGGGAATGGACTGGATGATCCTTCCAGGTCCCTTCAGATCCCTGACATTCTGTGTAAGGTTCTGTGATTCCCTCAGCTTCCTTGGGAAGGGCACGCAGGTAAATGACAAGTCTCCTTGACAACCACCAGCGCTTGGCCCTGCCCAAATCAACTAAAGGGGCCAACATTTCACCCAGGTTCTGCAAAGAACCAGCAGCTGGAAGGAAAATAAATTGGATTAACTTGCTAGAACCCCGCGGTGCCGCCAGCAGTCAGTCAGGCTGGCCGCGACCTGCTGCCAGG